CGGTTTCTTCTTCCGGTTTCCTTCTTTTCTTTCTCCTACCTCTGCGACCACCAAGACTAAAAAATTTCTTCTCTTATGTATCCTTTGTCTGTGACCAACAACATTTTGGGTTAGAAAGCAGAGGTTCTTTCTTCTTCACATACCTCATTTGGCATAACAATGATGGTGTAGATGTTTCATTTCACTGCCTCCAAGCCCAACGACCGGCTCTCTCTATCGCACGCCGATTCAGTCTCCAAGATTTCCCCAACCAGCAGACAATTCCTTTTTCCTAAGCAACGATTCAGGCATTCATACTCTCGAGATGCAAGTTTTATTTGTGGTTATCACTCGAAGACATAAATCAGGTATACCATCGATTTAGGTTTGATTTTGTTCCCCTCGCTTCTCTGTTTGATTTCATATCAATTCATACTATCCAACACAAATCAGGTATGCCATTGATTTAGGTTTGATTTGATTCCTCTCGCTTCTTTGTTTGATTTTGCTCCTCTTGCTGTTGATTTGATTTAGGTTTGATTTGATTCCTCTCGCTTCTTTGTTTGATTTTGCTCCTCTTGTTGTTGATTTGATTCCTCTCGCTTCTTTGTTTGATTTTCCTTCTATTGCGTGGGTACACAACTGGTTATGATCACATACTTATGTCTTGATGAACATACCCAGTAAGATTGATAATGTACTTTTCTCCAGATAGCTATCAATGAAGCTGCAAAAGATTGGGGCTTGCAATGTCTTSGTTGTGAAACAAGTAAACTATAGTATTTCAGTCAAGCATAATTTTAACTTGATACTTTTCAGAAAAAAACTTTGTTATGAATACTCTGCCTTACATCTGAGCTCTTTTGTATATAGGGGATATATCTCCTCCATGTGGTGTAAAAGAAGGTATGGGGATGCAAGCAGAAGCTGAGCAGAAAAAGAGAGCCCAAATTCTGGAGTCGGAAGGTAATAAAACCCCTATAAGGTGATCTTTATATACCTTAAATTTTACAAGGTGCAACATATCATCATAATCAGTGTATTTGTTTCAAACTGGAGTGATGAACATGTGCTAAAACATGCATGCTTGTCATTCTGGAAGTTTATACCATATATTCTAATATTCATCTTCTGTAAATTCATTGAGACATKTTGGAACATAATCAAGCCATGGGAAATCTTAGAATCGTCAATTTACTCTTTAACAACCTATATTTGCATGCCTTGTCACTCGTACTGAGAGCCTAAAGTTTTATGTGTTAATCCATTTCATGGGTGAATGGACCTGTAATAGATAGTTTTCCATTTCCACGCACGAAATATGTGATTACGAACTTTTGCTGTACTCGTATATTTAACATCTGTAATTTTCTATTTTTCAGAAGAAAGACAACCAAGTGTTAACATTGCCGATGGAAAGAAGAGTTCCAAGATGTTGGAAGTTCAGGGTAAGTTGGCATATGGAATTAAGAAGCTTAAATATAGAGCTATTTTAACCTTGTTATTTATGTTAGTTTAGGAGAAGCAGAGGCTATTTTGGCTWGATCTCAAGCAACAAATAAAGGAGTTGYTTTGGTTTCTCAAGCTCTTCAAGAAAATGGAGGAGTTGAGGTAAGCTCCTGTGGTCTTTAATCTGTGTATCAGGTACATGCCATCATGCTGGTGGAAATATCTTGATGTTTATATAGATCTACAATATCTTTACACTGTTGAAGTTTCATATATGTTTTTTCTTTCTAATACCTTAGTATCTGGCATCATTGGTATGGGGATTGTTAAATTTGAGAATCTTCTATATCAGTTTTTTTCCGTTATCTGACAATGGCCTGTCACAACCTAAAAACACCTGCATATTTAACCATTTTGGGTTTTAGCTCAAAAATGATTCTTGCACTTTACTCCCGCATATCCCTTTTCTCTTTATTATTTTTCAGCCCTGGTTTAGCTTTTCGAAATTTGTGATCTATCGACTTAGGATCGTATTTATATCCACTAATTCAATAACCAAGGCCACTTCCAATTCCTGCTTKTGATTTTACACATCTATATTTGTGATTTATCTACTGGAAAATTGTTTAATTTGAGTGGAAACACTGAATCTGTCTCGCACATCATATATGTATTCAATTATTGGTTTTATGCTGCAAATCTGCAACTTTTTTTATGGAACTGTGGTGTTCGGGCCAGATTAATCCCACAGGGTCCTGAAGTGAAAAGTCTGATAAACCTCTATTGAGGATGCAGTTGTACTTCTACTTTGAAGGGTTAAATCTGCAACTTTTGGAGATGTAATTATAACCGTGAGATTGTTGCAGGGTCGCTTTGATATTCTTTCTTTGTCTGGAGCATTTAYGCCGAATGAGAATGGTGGAGCAAAAGGTTGCTCTGGTGGGATGAGTGTTTATTTGGCAGGCCCTGATGGACGTGTTTTGGGTGGAGGACTTGCCGGTATGCTTGTAGTTGCTGGTCCTGTTCAGGTTAGACATTTTACATTTTTACCGATAAAATTGAATCTAGGGCCTGTTTCATGACATAAATTGGGTAAGCGCTAACTGAAAATGGTCGTTCACCAAGTATTTTGTTGTAAATGCTTAGCGTATCCAGGAATTTTGGTAATGGGGATGGGTAAAAGTAGATATATAGAGGGGATTTCAAACAAACATGTAAATATTACATCTGCAAGGACTCTAATGATCAGAAAGATAAAAGATATAATGGGTTGGCAATGATTGAGAAAATATCTCATGCTATGATGATTTGTAACTTATGCATTCATGGTTGTATGTTACCATCTAAGCTTGTATTTCTAATTCTTAGGTGATACTTGGAAGCTTTCTTCCCAGCCACCAACAGGAGCACCAGAAACCACCCAAGAAATCAATATTGGAACCTATACAAGCTATCTTGCCGTCGCCTATCGCCGCCACTTCTGTGTTCAAACAAGCAACCGAGAGAAGGTATGGCGATGAACCGAATATAAGCTTTACCATCCCAAACCCGACACATATAGCACGGAGTTTAGACCCTGAAAACAACGGATCTTTGCGTGCATCTGAACCTAAGGTGCTCAACGCGTCACAGTTCAAGGTTTCTTGCTGATCAATTCAGTGGTGTATTAGCTGACTTAGGAAATCATTAGACTTATTTATTGTTGTTAGAAGACATCAAATCTTTTTGGTGTTGTTTTAAATCTTAACCTTAGGTGTTGAAGAGTTGGCATAAATTTAATGGAAAATGGATGTTAATTTGAGGATTTCATTCTTCTTTAAATGGTTTGTAATGAATCCATTTACTTGAAATTTTATACCATGTCACGCCAAACGTGGGTCGGTGGGTTTTTGTTCAGTCCCATGTTGGGGTAATTAGTTTTGTTCTGTCTCATATATCAAACGCATCCTTAAAACCATTATAGTGGTTTCGGCCAGAGTTTTKTTTCTTCACACCTTTCCTTCCTCCAAACTCGTATTTTGAATCCTTAAAACTCATTGCTTGCTCCGTATTACCTTCTCATCTTCTGCTTAACCTTCTCTTCTTGTTTTTCAGCTTGCGCTTCTTGTTCTCTCTTGTCTTTCTTCTCCAAAATATCTCTCTTTTCTACAAGAAAGCAAGTCATTTACATCTATCTATTGATCTTGATTGATATCGATCGAAAATTGGTGAATCCATTCTACGTCTTTAGGAAAATTGATATTGCCAAGTTTATCAAGCATGATGTCCTTGGATTTTAAACTGTCATATAATTTTTTTCATCGATAGTTTGTAATTGGAACCATAACTCTTATTTATTCAAATTGTATTAATATATAAAGACCAAGTGTAACCTATATCATCGTTAAATCTTATCTTATAAAACCAGTGGAACTTCAAAATCGTTAAAATTCATGGCTCCCGCAGCATTGCGCGGGTACACAACTAGTATATATATATATATATATATATATATATATATATATATAAGCGATCAATTGTAAACCACCATCGTTTGTAAAAAACCTTACAAACCAATCTCATCCGTTCTTTTTCTTGATCAATGGTTAAGATTAAATGTGTTTTATATTAGAAAATAAAAAAATAAAAAAAAGTTTAATTTTTAATTAAAAAAGGGCAAAATTGTCAAATCTCCAATGATTTTGTAACGAGGTAACAAGATCGTGGATATCTTAACATTAATGAAACAATTGTTTTAAAATCTCTATATATCATTTTATCATTACAAAGATTTTAACAAAAAATGTTAGAATAATTTGAAAAATTATATGTTTGATAAAAATTATATTCATTTTATGACTAAATATTATAAATAAAATAACATCCACATTAAAAATAGATCAAAATAAAGAGCAATGAAACTAGATATATTCTAATAAATTATGAAACATAAAAACATATTTTAATCAACAAAAAATAATGAAACATTTTGAATATTAAATGAAATATTTTGAATATTAAATGAATGAATGAAACTATTTCACCGTTTATTGAATGAACTCACGCGATTCTTTGTCACCTACAATGAAAGATGAACCATTTGACATATAGTAGTGAACGATATATGAAATTGTTTCATTAACGGTTATTGAAGTAGGATTGAACTTTTAATAATTTCTAATCAAACTAATTTTAAAAATAAAGGATATCCTTATAAATGATGAAACGTATCAAGAATCAAACATTTTTTAAACAATGAAACGTAATCAAATTTCATATTGTACTCCTTTTACAATTCATATTTTAGGAGTTTAATTTAATAAAATAATTAAAACTATTAATGGTAATAATTTTATATAAAAAATAATTGATTTACCACATTCTATTTTATATGGTTTTATAAAAGCGATAATGTTTTTATTTTTAAATAAAATATAAATTTAAAAAAATAAATCAAAATTAATATCGAATTAACTATTTAATAGTTCTCGTTTTTTGTGTAACTTCTTTGATTTAATTTTTATTATAATTTAATAATAAAGTAATTTATTTTTGTTTTAATAATTTATTTTTTATAAAGATAATAATTAAACATTCTGTTAGTATTTTAGTTATATTTTATATTTTTTTATTTAAATTGGATGTTTATCATATATTTGATTATGTCATCTGCAGTTAGTTACACGAATTTAAAAATGAAGTTTTAATAAGTTGTAATTATGTAAAACTATTTATAATCTTGAATTTTAAGTAATATGCATCAATAAATAATATTTCATTCATAAAAAATGATTTTTAAATTTTTTTATCAAATATTTTATAATATATATATATATATATATATATATATATTTAATTAAATAAAGAAATGGGAATAAGCAACAACAAGTGTAAATGACTAAAATAGCCCAAAATCATGGATGAATAAATAAATGATTTGAATGTGTTTTCTTGGATAACAAGTACAAGAATTAATTGGAGCATGGAGGGGTAAAAGTGAAAATAGCACAACAAACGGGAACGGGTTTTCATTTGCCCACCTTTCCCTTTTATCTTTCAACTGACGTTTCCTTCTCCACAAAATCCCCCAATTTTTCCAACCCTAGCTGCCGCAAATCGTCATTTCTCGTGCTCATCCTCATCAATTTCCGACACCGATTCAGAGCAGGATGGATGATACCTGTGCTGTGTGTGCTGAGAGTCTCGAATGGGTTGCCTACGGATCTTGTGGACACAAGGAGGTTTGTTCCACATGCGTTGCTCGTCTTCGGTTCATCTGTAGTGATCGCCGCTGCTGCATCTGCAAATCCGAGTCCACGCTCATCTTTGTTACCAAGGTCTTGTTAATGAATCTAACAACTATCATAGTATAGTAACGTTCATACCTCTATCTCTTTGTCTTTTGATCAATCAATAATCCACATTACATTGATGTTGTTTCTGGCAACAACTGATTGTGTTATATGATGGGGGATCTTTTGCAGGCTTTAGGGGACTACACTAAGATGATAAATGACTTCTCGGTCTTCCCTTCTGAAGATAAGGAGGGTCGATCTGGCTCATATTGGTACCATGAAGACACGCAGGCTTACTTTGATGATTTGGATCAATACAAAATGGTCAAGGCCATGTGTAGGCTTTCTTGTAGCGTTTGTGACAAGGTGGAGGAGAACGGCAGTAATAGCTCCAAGAGAAGAGCTAGGTTTCGTAACATCGATCAGCTTAAGGGTCATTTGTTCCACCAGCATAAGTTGCTAATGTGCAGCTTGTGCCTGGAAGGAAGGAAGGTTGCTTTGCAGTATTATGTTTTACTTACTTTATTTTATGTCCATCAGTCCATGCATCACTTTGATCTTGCATGCTCTTATGTCTATACGGGAAAAGCTTTGAGTTTATTATGAATGTGAATAATAGATAAAGGTGCATTCCACATCTTATTGGTGTTCTCGATGGAATTCTTCAACCAAGTTATCTTCCAAAGAGGACTCAACTGTATGGCTATGGGTGATGCTAGATCACTGAAAAATGAGATCTTTTTGTATGGATGCAGGTATACTGTTCATGAGTACACTGAGCTAAATCTGAAAAGCGAGGATATTGTGTATAACATCAAGCAGATTTAATCTGTGGAGTATACTTGGACTTGGGAGTCTTCTAGGGCTAAATAAACACCATAAGTATAATGAATCGGAAAATTTGAGGATATGGTGTATATGGTGCATGTTTATAAATCAACTCTGTTAGAGTACCCTTAGTACACATGAGGCACTGAGATTGAAGTATTTTTACTCTGAGCTTGAACTTCAATCAACTAGTACTAAGCTAGAAGCAATTGTAGTGAACACTACACACATTGAATTTATAGGTGTAATGTGACTAGGTGATCGGATATCAAAAGTCAAAACGTTGGTATAATTCAACAGCTCTGATGGTTCAATATAACTATATTGGTTGTTGGCATCAAATCAAAACATGATTGCTTTTTTGCAAAGTATGTTGGACCGACATAAAACTAGCTCTTATTATTTTGAAACTATAGTATCACACAATCTCACATGTTGCATTTAATTGTGGTTGCAACATAATAACCAATAAACTATTGATGTGGTAAGCTCTCTTCCCTTTTGAACAGATGTTCCTGCAGGGCTGAATTTTGGCTAAAGAGCTATCCAAGTTCAATTTTTTGTTGTACTGCTCCTATGAAAAAGTTGAAATAAGTTTTTTGGTCACAATATGTGGCTTGATTACCAATGGTTCACTTGTTGTTTTCTGGAATGCGGTTATTTGCAATATCTGACACCTTCATTTTATGTTCACATATTTGAAAATTTAGCATATTAGATCCGTAGTTGTTGGTTGAAGTTGTGATGGTCACAAAGCAGCATGCATGTTGCAAAAAAATTATAGCAACAGGTACAAAGTAGAATAAAAAACTGAATTAATAATGTAGCACTGAATATAATATTATGTACGAAAAATTGTGATCCAAATGCTTGAAGGTTATGTGAACGAATAATTTTTAGGTGACTTGAAAGACTATTTCTTTTTTCTCATGAATAGTTCCTGCTGGTGACTTGCACAAGCTTTACAAAGATGCTCTCTAAAAGGATGCTAGAAGTAAAGAGGTAATGATTTGGTAGGAGCCTCTAGGAGGTGGATAGGGGCTTTCTGTTGTCATGATAAATGAACACCCAGCTGTTTTATTAATCGAAGGAAAACTTGTTTGAGCAGATGATCTTGGATGAAATTTCCATACAGCTGATTAGAAATTACTGCCTCTGGAGATGTTTTTCGTCTTCATAAGTGGGTGTTTGAGCGAGGAGGGAAAAAGGAATAGGGGTGGAGAGGGCCAGGGCCGAACAATTAAGTGGGAGTTAACACCCTAGCAGCCCTTTTAGTTATGGACCACCTGTTTTAGGCTTTTAGCCAATGATGCTTAAATGTAATTTTATAAAGCTTATAAGAAAGATTGATGCTACTTAGTGCACAATGCATTCCTCAAGTTCTTTATATATTAATTTATTATTACTTAATGCACTTGTAGTTTTCTGAATTTAACATAATTTTCTGACATGATTGCATTGTTTACATGTGGAATCAAATCAGGTGTTTATTTGTGAACAAAAGCTTTATAGTAGGGCGCAATTAAAGCAGCATATAAACACAGGTGACTCTGAAGTTGACGGAACTGAAAGTGAAAGAGGTGGCTTCAAGGGGCATCCTTTATGTGAATTCTGCCGGTCACCGTTTTACGGGGATAATGAGCTCTACACCCACATGTCTACTGAACATTATACCTGTCATATATGCCAAAGGTAAAATAGCCTTGTATGCTTTGAATCATCATCTATGATCTATGTGCAGCTAACACAACTTATCTAAACTGTTTGCTTTTTTAATCATGCAGACAAAATCCTGGTCAATATGAATATTACAAGAATTATGATGACTTGGAGGCAAGTTGTTTTTTCAGATCATAATGTCTGTTTGTCTTTGAGCTGCTATGGAATTCAATTGTTAATATCTTATTGTCGAGGTTGATTATATTCTGGTTGTCTTTTATTCATGTTTTAAATGAGGAAATGCTTTATTGATATTTTTGGGGATTTGGTCCTCCATGTGATTAACTAGTTGCCATTTTGCAGATTCATTTCCGCCAAGAACATTTTTTGTGTGAGGATGAGGCTTGCCTTTCCAAGAAGTTCATTGTTTTTACATCTGAAGCTGAAATGAAGGTAACTAATTGGGGCAAGGCTTGGTGGATGTCGCACATCCTGTTTGTCCGTGCAGATGATTTTTTGAGATGCTGAATTAGCTAAATCTCTCTCTCCCAATATATAGAAAAAAAAAAGCACCACACACATGTACTTAAACCCAAAGTGTGGGTGGTGGAACAGCTTCTTTAGGCTTCCCAAAAGGGGGAGAAGCAACTTTTTAGACTTCAATCTTGTAACCCTTATTTTGGTTTCTGTATTTCAGAGGCACAATGCACTAGAGCATGGAGGCCGGATGTCACGATCAAAGCGGAATGCGGCTCTGCAGGTATGACTTGTTCTGTACTCATACTAATCAGAGAGAAATAAATGATGAAATAAGCTCTTGCCCTGCTTAGTCTTTGTTGACTGATTGATATTTGCTTCTTCGTAACTTGATGCATTTATGTCTATTTCATGCAAATTTTCTGCTTCCATTTTTTTATTTTCTTTTTCTTGTTTTTTCTGCTTTGGCTACTAGTTACCAACTAGCTTCAGATATCGGCGAAGCAATGAACAAGATAACCGGCGTGGAAGATTTCAACGTGATCTATCTGAAGATGAACTATCTCGAGCAATTGAAGCCAGCCTTGAGACAGCTAATGTAAATGGCAGATTTCTAGACTCATCATCCTCGAGTTTGCCTGTGGCTTCTGATCATACTAGCATCAATGGTATTGATCCATTGATCCAGCCATTTGAAGCACTGGGCACAGAATCTGACCCAAGGTATCTCATGGCAGTGTCACATAGGCCAAGAAATGCGCCACTGGAGGAGTCCTCCTTCCCACCGCTCTCCTCGGGTCCTGGTGGTAGTACCCAAAGACCCATACATGATGCTGAAGGTTTACCGAGGAACACTATGGCAGACAATCTTCGTCGACATAGCAAAAAAAAAGTCAATGTTCTCAATACGGCTCAAGCTTGGCCTGCAGCAACCCGTTTTAATAATCCACCGGCATCAAGTGCAGCTTCTAGACCTGCAAATACCTCACATGGATCATCAGTGGTGCCTGGGCATGGTAAGTCGGCAATCAACCAGAGATCTGCAGCCTCTAGTCAACCAAGTTCTCTCCAAGTCCTGCCTTCTGTTGGGTCGTCAACTTCTAGCAGTCGGAACAGTACAAGCAGAATCGGCCATTCCTCATCAGCCCCAAATCTGGTTGATACTGTTTCTGTGTCTGATTTTCCTCCCGTTTCAACATTGCAGGCACGCAATCCGCCTGCAAGTGGGCAGGTTACAAGAGGCACAGGAGATGTTTATACTGCAAACAAGACGATGGTAGAAAAAATTCGTGCTGGTCTGGATAATGATCAAGATAAATATGCTGCTTTCAAGGACATTTCTGCAGAATATCGGCAAGGCGTGATTGATGCAGAGATGTATCTGGTGTATGTGGAGCAGTTTGGATTGTCTCATCTTGTTCTTGAGTTAGCTAGGCTCTGTCCTGATCCTCGTAAGGAGCAAGAGCTCATTGCAGTCTACAATGCCAATCAAAGTATGAGTGGGCAGAAGAGAAATGGTCAGAAGAATGGCATGAACAACAGTAAAGGAAAGTCTGTGGTTTCTGGCAACAACAAGCTGACGGATAGCATCTTAAGCAGTGTTAGGGAACTACAATCAAACTATAGGCCACCAGAAGAGGAGGTGGAGACGCTATCAAAGGATGGGTACCGGGCAGCTAATAAAGGAAAATTGAAGTTGGAAGTTGATGATCGGACATCACCTGGTAGTGTTCCAAGGCCAAAGAGTGAAGGTGGTGGTGATGGAGAAGGGAGAAGTAAGCCGCAGCAGCAACGGAAGAAAACATCAAAGTTTCACAGGGTTCGTCTTGGTAATGGGTCGATGGCCTCAATCCTTGACCTGACAAATTCCAATGCTGGTTCTGATTCCACCGAGGCATCAAATGGAAATGGGAATGAGGACCCTGGCGATGGGGTGCCTGTGCGTGGTGTGTGGCGCAATGGTGGAGGTCATAGGTTAATTGTGAAAGATCAGAGAAGACCTTAAGTTTTAGCGTACCATGGAACCAAAGGATGATTTTTGATGGGATATGAAAGAAAGAATATACATAAGTTGTTAAAACAGCCAGCCAACCAACCAACCAACCAACCAACCAAAAGTGTTGATAGACGAAGTTAGTTTTGTATTTGAAGTTGCTGGGTGTTTTGTTTGGTTTGCGAAATTGCACAGTATTTCAAAGTTTTGGTGTTTGATTTCATCTCAGGTGCAATAAAAATATCTAATGATGGGTTGTTATATCTGATTCCAAATACAAAAAAGTAACAGATATGTTCTGCACAAATATTTGAGCAAAAAGTTTAACAGTGTGTTTACACTAATATCGATAATTGGAATGAGACTTGTTTCCTTTTCATGTTGTTTTGACACCGCCATGGAGGCATGAACAAGGGTGTGGTTGTTTCTCTTGGTTTGTTGCCTTATTTATAGTTTTGGTAGAAAAGGATATGTTGGACATTTCTTTGCTAAATTGATTGTCAAACTAAAATCTGCTTCTTTCAAGAAGCTACTAGTCTGCTCATCTCATGATATTCCCATTACTTATTTTGTATGCATGTTCTTCACCTGACTAATAGAAATATATTACCATCCACAATACCCAGTTTACTCCTAATATATTGTCTACCTGGTGCCGTTTATCCCTCACCAAGCTAACAACAATCCATATGCTTTTCAAGAACCATTTACACCATCAAACCTAATTTTATTTTCTTACAATGCATACCATGGTCCTTCCAAACCAACAACTGGCTTGTACATAGTTGATGGCAAAGAAAGCTACAACTTAGACATGACAAGTAACAAATACACACATTATTAATAATAATCCTTCACATTTACAGATAAAATAGTTGCAACATCATACTTGAGTAGTACTTAATTAATACAGATTGTTGCCAAAGGTTTTCTCACTGCTGTAGCACATGTACAAGAACCCATCTTCATCCTTAAATGATTCGTACACCGACTCTATCAAGCTCGCTGCAAATACCAATCGATGATCCATTAGCTGTTGCTAGCATTACTAAGAAAGAAAAAGAGACTAAGTGCATACATACATGTCTGAGGCAATGTGTTGTCCACAAATATGAAGAGGGCCTTTCCAGGAGACAGATGGAGCCTGCCGCTAAGTATGTGAATAAATTGGCCAATCGACATGTCCCGCGGTACCAAGTATCTGTTTATTCACAACATTTCATAGTGAATAATCATAATCCCCCTTTTACTTTCTAATCAACAAACAAAACCTACCTCATAATGCCTAATCATACATCATAATTAAGAACATCATATCCCACTCCTATGGCTCTTGATGCATAATCCATCCTTCACATTCAGTTTATTATTATTGCTTTTTATGTCAAAATGTTTTAGTGATCAATCATACCACAAATGAAATCAACTAAGGAAAGCATGAGCAAAGAACATACTTCTTCTTCTCCATCTCAGGAAGGTCGGTTTTAGTATACCTCTCCACTACCACCTGCATAGAAACAGTAGAACAATTAAGGACATCATAAACAGGAGGAATCTGATATTACAACACAAGTGCTTTGCTTACGGGCGTTTAAAAGGATTCTAGTATATATATATATAACCAACACCACCACAGCAAAGAATTTGTGAAACACATACAAATTGATTTCACCTCATTTATCTAAAACACGAAAGGTAAGAGAAAATTATTTGAGAGTTGGTTAATTACAGGAAGTCGATCGGGATATCTGGCAACGATGTCTTGTGATTCCTGGCATCGTTCCTCTGCGAATTACGAATTGTAAACAAATCGATGAAGAAATTAATGAAGCAAGGAAGGAAGAGGAAAACAACAACGAACCAAATGAGAAAGTTTCCTTGAAAGCTGTGGATTTCCCCATCTGCACTCCACCTCCGATTGCAATTCCGATAGCTATCAACTGAAACTGGATAAAACTTAGAACACGCAACGCAAGCACCGTCCTGTCCTCTTCCCTATTTATAAATTATAATATGACATAGCCATTGACCAAAGCAACGCCGGGCCCATACCATCTACTTTTATTCTATTTTATTTGATGGGCCTGGCCCGTAACATTTAGTTTTATTCTTAGATAAAATCACAAAATAACAATTTATTTTTATAAATTTTTTTATTATATTATTGTATTTTCAGTTTCTTTTATTAGAGTAATGTATTTTTAAACTATTTTTTTATTAAGACATTATACTTTGAAAATTTTATCCATTATAGCATTGAATAACATTTTGATTTAAATTTACCCATTATACTAGGTTTTCATGCCACCTCATTGGTACGTAGGCTGTCTACATGTACTATAGTGATGTGACTTTCTTACTACATTATTGTACTTTCAAAATTATTTTATTATAACATCTACTAGTTCTTATTATACAATGTATTTTTAATTTTAATATTTAGATATTTTACAAGTTATTTAATAAATGTATTAAATGAATTAAAAAATTCTAAAGCATTCATTAATATACCAATATCAATAAAACTAGTAAAACACAACTTATCTCGCTAACATTTTAAAAAAAAATACGTGTTTTTTGAAAAAAGGAAAATAAGAATTGTTCTTTTTTTATCAAAAAATATTATCTTTTAAAGAATATATTCTATTTGTTCAAAAACTTTTTACTTGACGTATAAATATATTAAATTAATTAGACTTTTTTGAATTATTTATTAATATAACAATATTAAAAAATTGTAGATAACAATTTATTTCGTTAATATTTTAAAAAGAACTTTAAAAGATATGTATTTATTTGAAAACATAAAATAGGAAAAGTTACCTTTTTTCAAACAAAATATATCTCAAAAATAATGTTTCATATTTATTTAATAAATATTTTACTCTAATTTTAATTTGAATGCAACTTAATAAGAAAAAATAAAAAAAAATGTTTTTTATATCATAACAATGAAAAATGAAAATCACTAATAATAATTTGAAATAAGTTTTTATTTTAATTTTAATTAAGTCATCAAAATGATGTGGCATCCACGTCACCTCATTAAAACCACACAAGCTAAAAAGTCAAAGGATTAAGCAGTTTAAAAGGTAACAGGTTATCCATTGTTATTATGGGTAGATTTTTTAAAGTACAATGCCTTAATAAAAAATAATTTAAAAATATATTATTGTAATTAAAAAAAAAACAAAAGTAGAATGCTATAATAAAAAAATTTATGAAAATAAGTTGCTATTTCATGCATTTAACTCTAAATTATAATATGAAATAGCCATTGACCAAAGCAACGCCTGGCCCATACCATCTACTTTTATTCTATTTTATTTGATGGGCCTGGCCCATACCATCTACTTTTATTCTATCTATTAACTGTCTACAATCAGTACAATGTATTCCATCAAAATGCAACCATTTCTTTTAGATTAAGATTTCAAATAAAACTTGTCGCTTTTTACTTACAGTAACAGTATGAGAGTATGTTTGTTGCAGAGGCAAAACACAAATCTAATTCCCAGAAACATGCATTTCAAAGGACTTATTATTTATTACAAATCTAAATATAAATGTGATGGGTGTTGATTAGCATCATGTGATGATAACATCAAAGTCGCTCACTCTCCATTCTGCCTCTTCATCTTTGTTGCTTACAAATATCTCAGTTCCAACATCAAGTGATGTCCATACCCTCTTAGCAGCTTTACTTCCTGGATCCTGCAATCCATCCATCATATCCTTGTTATTATTCATTTACTAACTCAAAATTATTATATATACCAATCAGCTGAATCAAAACCTGATAGAAGTAAAGTCTAGCGGACAGGCCACCAACATCAAGCTCCCAACTCCTGGCATCCCCCACCCATCCCTCTCCTTGCTTTGTTGGATATCCATATTCCCTCCATATGGGATGAGGCAGCAACTGTACAAGTTCTTGTGCCTGTGGATTGCTGTATGGATCACAGGTGCTGTATGGCTTCTCCAAGTGCTGCGCATTCCCGGGAGCACAGTAATAGTGATACGCCCCATACGGGAAGTTGCGAGTGTTGTTCCTATAAATCTTTGTGTTGTTGGGAGTAATGTGGTAAGGTGGACAGTTTTCAAGTGCCGAAGGACCACACCATGCTGGGATTTCAGGATTGATGATCATCTCGCTGTATCTGGTAATGTCTGTCAACACATCTCCATCACAAGGATCACCATTGTTTTTCCAGCAACTGCCCATATCTATCAGGTAGAATTGGCTCTTTGCTCCGCCTCCTTTTTTCACATCCAGACTCAATCTCACTTTGAAATTAGGGGACTCTGGGAGCTGCATCATGAATCAGAAAAACAAAATAAAGATCTAATATAACACTTGATGTAGTTCCTTGGCAGATCTTTGATTGGATTGATCCTAACTAGCTAGTCAGAAACCACAACTATAACTAATCTATTGCCATTCAGCTGCGATTGTTTTGTTTCCAGTATGCGTGGAACATATATGGATTATTGTTTCTGGAATTGGGGGGGACACTGGTCCTGGCCCATTGCATGTTACTCGAAAGCCAAAGAACATGTGATGCTATTGATGAATGAGTGGCTGGCTGTGTTGCTCGTACAAAGAATATATTCATGTCTTCATTTTCCATTATTTGGTGACCAACAGCCACCACTGTATCTTTCTTTTCTTTTTTCTTTTTTGTTGTTGCGAAAAAGGCAAATGCATTGATAATACTATTCAACAACCGGAGTTGAAGAACCAAAATGAAGTGAACATCTATAAACACCACTTGCTTCAAGATCTAAACACCACCAACTAAAGCAAATGGTCCCTAGCAATAAAGAATTAATTGAATAGAAGTTCCAGGATGGAGATGAACTAAAAGTAAGTAAAGTCAAGGATGGGACATACGGTATTAAGCATGCCTCTTGTGTCGTAGTGATAGCCACCGGAGAAACCTTTGGTAGCATCAGCTCTCAGGTACAGCATCAGCCATGGGTACTTGTGGGATGTTTTCAATTTGTGATTGAATTCCCAACTACCAACCCCAACGCTCTTCTCCCACGTTACCTCAAAATATGAGACACTAGTGGCACTAAAATCATCGTAGCTGCCATTGAAACCACCTCGCATAACTGGAACCAAATCTGAAATTGCTGTATTTGTAGACCCAGTTCGAGACCAGGTGATGGATGTGGGCTGATGGGCCAATACAGGTTGATTCATACAGCCATCTCCAAAACAAGGAAATCTTCCGGGCGGGAAAGGTGGCACCTTTTTACCGTTCTGAGGACACAGAGCAGAGGTGGTGTCGTAATTGCCATTCTTCAACATAATCATCCAAAACTGCCATGGGTCAGCAGTGTCGTTCGGTATGACTTGGCATAGAGTGCCCAGATACAGCTCTTTTTCTGCTGCGTACAGGTCTGGATCTTGAAGCGCTTTAGGACTCAGTCCTGGAAATGAGTTGCCCACCCCGAGCCTGTTATCAGCCTCCGTCACTTTGTGATTTAAGTAATACCCTCCTCCATCTAATTTATCTGTGAAGATATACATACATACATATAGCAACAATCAGAATTCATTCCCAAGAATAAGTCTCCTTTAAACTGGAAAAAGACACAATTTACTTAAGAATGCAGTGTTTGTTTTCTGATAAATAAAACAAAATTAAAAAAGAAGAAGAAGAATTATTATGGGGATTGAATGAGTACTTGTGGAAGAGAGATCGAAGCAATCAGCAGCTCTGGGACTACCCATGGAAGGGGCTTCGGTTCCAACTTCATTGCAAAAGTTCCAGGCTTCGAATGCCACTCTCAACCCATCTCTCTTCATTCCTGGATCACCAACACAGGAAGATGAAGTCGAAGATGTTTCCAGGATTGCCATGGAGGAGACGGCGGCCACAATGTTACCCATCAGAGATGACGTCACCAATATAAATCCCATCACAGCAGCAGCAGCAGCAGCAGCAGCAAGTGCCATTCGTGAAGATAAAAATGGAAGTGGAAGAATGAATGTTGTTTGTGATCACAGCCAGCCAAGAAAGAACAGAAGGGAGTATCACGTGCGACGAGTAATAGTTAGCTTTACTTTTACCCTTTTTTCCTTTCTCTTTCTCTTTCCCTTTTCTTGAATGCGCCAAACTTAATTCAAATGAGAAATTTGGGTTTCTATGCTCATTGGGTCCCCCTCTCTCAAGAATATGTTTCATATTTCTTTTCTTCTTTTTATTTTAATTTAATTTGGGTACAAGAATGTGTTACTGCACCATGAATCATTAGAAAAAAGGGTGGTGATTGTTAAGATAGAAATGGAAGCCATTGTTTGAGTGGGGACTTGGTATTGTATTGTATTTATTATCCGTCCATCCATGGAGATGCTGATTGCTCCACCCAACAAACATTTTCTATTACTCCACTCCATACTCCATATAATAATTTATGTACTTTAACTTCAATTTGAAGTATACAATTGAATATACACAGTCCAATCCTCTCCTAATTCCTCACCATAAATTTCTCTACATTTTGAATGAATATATCAATTGCTTCGGCCTGCCAAGAGACGGTGCAGCGTTATCTTCCCAGAATTGTTAGTATCCAGCTTGTTGAATTGATCACATATCTGCAATATATCTCTCTCTCTGATCTTCCCCATTTCTTTCAGCTTGAACACTATGTATTCTGATTTGCTGCATTCATTCATAAAACACAAACAGACAATTTCATCGTCATAAATTATATATAGATTAACCAATAGTTTCATACAAGCAAATGTAACATCACTACATTAAGAGTGACAATGCCCTTCACCATCATTTTCATCTCTTTAATTAAGCTTGACTACGTCTCCTTACTTTCACCATCACCACAACTAGTTATCAGTATTTAATCTCTTCTTTACGTCTCGGAAACACCTTCTACTGTTACTGGTTTCTTAAGCATCTCATCCCATCATCCCATCCCTACTTTATGGTTTGTTACAGATTAGTCAATTATATAGCACATTTAAGAAAATGATAAGTAAAATGAAACAACATCATGCTTCCTTTTTCATAATAATAAGAGTTATGAAAATATTTACATATATGTGATCAGTGAATGCTATTTTCAAAAACATTAAGCACAGAAATGCTTGATTCAAAGAGGCTAAAGTCATTGTTAATAATGCACATATCAAGATGATGATGATGATGATAGGCATTGGTTTCAAGAAATACATACATATATATATGATATATGAATAGAATGTATGTTGTCTTTCCTTATCCTAAATTAAAGAGCTAGGTTGAACATGAAAAAGGGAAAGCAGAAAAAATACGAACCAAAGGAAGCCATTGTTATTAATGTCTGCAGCTAGCAAGTCCTTGACAGTGATTTGGCGGTGCAAAACACAATTGGCAAGTCTCCTATGCCTCTTATCAATCCTGGCCTCAGTCAAATACAAAAAGGAACGTGCAACCATCAAAGTAGAGAAGAGAAGCCAAATAGATGCAAATAATCGACCAGGAAGGGTCTCGAAGGCCTTATCTCCGTACCCAACAGTAGTCACAGATAGAACAGACAGATATAATGAATCAATCCAATCCAGACCTTCCACAAAGAACAATACCACTGTTCCCATTCCTATACTCAACAATACAACACCCAATGCCAGCCCAACCTTCAACCTGATCCTCATCCTCCCTTTTGCAAAATCAAAAATGTAGTCTATTGGAGAAAATCTTGTTTCTTCTAATCCCTTGTTGTTTACCATGTAGAGACCTGCGTGGTTCATTCTAATGCTTTTCAATACCATGTTCTCTTGCAAATCCAGGACGTAATTGACAACCCCAGACAACATGATATCAATGAACCCGAAACCTACCAACACAAAGAAGCATGAGAAGAGTTTTGCAGAAGGTGTGACAGGGGCAATGTCGCCATAACCGATGGTGCACATAGTCACGATGCAGAAATAAAGGGCATCCACAAGTGGATGCGTTTCAAGTCCAGAGAAGTGATCTCTGTTGAAATAGTAGATGAAGACACCCAAAGACAGGTAGAGGATAAGTAGAAGAGCAGCCTGTCTGAGAAGAGAAGCGGAATCGGCTTGAGCGGGTTTGGGATCGGTAGATTTTTCTTGAGGCATAACGACCATGGCAGGTGCGGTTTTGCATCGGTAAAACCTCTGCTTCTTTGAATTAGAATTAGAATTATTGCGGAAGAGGAAGAGGGGAGGATTAAAGGAGGAATCTTGATGGGAATTGTGAAGTAGGTCTTGTACTTCTTGTTGTTGCTCTGGAGAAGATGAATCGGAGGAAGTAGGGCCATCATCCACAAGATTCTTAGTTCTTCTGCTTGGGCGGAATGGCTCTGCTTCCATTTCTCACTCGTCTTTCGACTCCAATTGGGGGGCCTGCAAAACACAAGACGATGGTGAGGGTGAGGGTGAGGGTGAGAAGATATCTCCGTGGTGATTATTGGTGTGGTTTTATAAAATTGCAAAGAAACCCCTGTATTTTCTAGGAGTTTGCGTATGAACCCCCCTAAACCATCTTAAACCATCTCCACCCTTGCATTGAACAACTTGTGCCATCTTGGTCAGGAAGTGGTTAGTATATATTCAAGATCAATGACAAGTAAACATGAACCCTACCTTCTAAAATGACGATATTGTCCTCGTATGCGGTGCAATGCCACATAAATCATACGAGAGGGATGAATGTCGGAACAAACATAACCAACACAGAGAATTATGATAACACTTTTTTATTATCAACACCAACACATTTCATTTACAATAAATACATACACACACACACACACACATATATATATATATATATATATAAATACACCTGATAACTGCCATTAACTGTCACAATGGTTCCAACCGTCGCAACGGTTCAAAACAATCTCACTCTTTCCAAATTGACACTTAATTAGACAGAATATTAAAACTAGATTAACCTTTCAACAATGAAGGTTTTGTTGTAATAAAATGAATTGTATGTACCAAAACCAAAAATAAAAATACTTTTTTATTTTATTTTATCATATTAAAATCTAGAGTAATTTCAAAAATTGGTTATGTTGAAAATTTAGATCTTCATGCTTTGATTTCGTTTACTACAAATCTAACAAAAAAAAAATTTATCTCTCTCAGGTAATTATTTTCACTACTAGAAATATAACTTTTTTCGGCGGAATTTTTCGTACGGTCGTTAAAAAGGTCAAATTACGTTAACTTCCATCGGTAATAGGCCACTGAATATTGGTAAAAAAAATATTGCGGCCATATTTAAGGCGGAATAAAAAAGATATTCCGGCCACATGTTCGTATTATTTAACCTTTATAGACGAAAGCAAATCAAGGCGCACCACAGACCATTATGGAACTGTTCAAATATATACATAAAAACAGGTCGAGTGGAGAGGTAGAATCTTCGAATTTCCGGGGGTACGTGATTTCTAAGTGTAGTCAGGTTAGGGTAAGTATCTATCTACTTTAAACTTTATAATTGGGTATCTATCTATCTTTCGATCTAGTTTTGGTTGTCATTAATTGTTGGACAAACGTTCGAATTGTTTAAGTTAAAATCTTATTGTGTGTGTATGTGTGTGTATATATATATATATATATATCTAGTTTGAGTTGTCATTTGTTGGGCAAACATTAATATTATTTAAGTCAGAAATTTTGTGTGTATATATCTATCTAGTTTAGATTGTTATTTGTTAGTCAAACATTAGGATTATTTTGGTTGAAAACGTCTCATTTACAATCGTTATGCTGTCGAAATTGACTTGTAACATTTTCTAAATCACAGGGTGACTATTCAACGAGTCTCACCCAAAAGTACGACAATGATCTCTCCACCTATCTCGTAGTTGATACAGAGTTGTTCGAGCAAGTGGCTTGTGGAAGTAAGAAAGACCGTTTATTTAGGTTTGGGTACAACCAAGATCCCAATTGGGTCTTGAACGGGAGATCCACACAGGGTGGTGCATCTGATAGCCGGGTGTGTACCTCTTTTCGTTTGATGATGCTTATCTATTTCATTTATAATTCATATTTAATATTATAATATCTTCTTTATTTTATAGGAAATTGACATCTTAAGGACTCAAGTTAGAGATTTGGTGAAAGAAAACCAGCGCTGGGAGGAGGAAGAGAAGCGCCAGCTGGAGATAGATGAGAGACGACAGAAACCGTATAAAGAGATGGCTGCTTCGGTCAGACAATTCAGTCAATCTCAGCAGTTTCACCCGTAACCGTCGCCAAAGTGATGAGTATATGTTTGTATCAAAACAATTTCGATTGTGTTTGGAACAATTTGTATTGAAACATTCTAATATTTGTTTAGAATAATTGAGTGCTATTTTGGACTGGACAATTGTATTAGATATTAAATTAATGTATGATATTTAGCAGTTTTTTTCTTCATATTTACAGAATTTACAAGTTTTTAATAAAAACAGACAAAATCATTTTTTTGAACCGAGTGTTTTTCCTGCGGATTACCGGCGGACTTATTCCGCCGGAAAATATTAAAAATAATATTAATTGAATTAAAACTTAAAAAATTATTCCAACGGAAATATCTGTCGGCGATTTAATTTAATAAAAAACAAATTCTTTATGAAAAAAATAATTTTAAAAATAAATTAATATTTATCGGCGGATTATTCCGTTGGAAGGCTAATCCTGATTATCAAATCCAGTAATTAAGCAAGTTTTTTTTTTAAAGAATTTCAAAAATCAAAAGTGGTGGATTTCCGACGGCCGTAATTTGCCGATAAATCGAGAAACCATTGGTAAGTCCGCCGGAAATTCAATTTTTCCAACAGGAAAAGGCCCCATATCTGGTAGTGTTTGGAAGAATTTCATTCTTTCTGATGATTAATTTTTCGTTTATAAATGTTAAGGCAAAAAACTAGTCAAAAACTTCATTTTATGGAGGTTATGTTAGCCTGTTAGGAGATGCTCCGTGTTAGAAATTTTGGTTTTCGATTTCTTGGATTCCACTGAAAGTCGTGTATCACTTTCATATTGAAGTATTTTGATGGTACAATCCAAATTTCAATCGGATAAAATTCAGTGGTTTTCCCGAACAGAGCACCGAAAATCAAATGACCAAATCATAGTTTTTCTCTCAAACGACCGAAAACTGCCATACGGCAGTTAAAAAACCGGGTTTTCAAAACAGAGTCAAAACGGGTTTAAAATTTCAAATTCAGATTTTTGAAGCATTTTCCACAAAGCTCTGCCCCCTAAGACCCCGCCACCAGGGCGCTGCCCCTGGACCCACTGTCGTTTAGGGGATCTCGCCCGTAACTCAAAAATAAACTGAAAGAAGTGTGCGCTCCGCACCTTTCTTGTTCGATATTTATCATGATTACATTGATCAACAAATTAATCCCATTACACTTAAATAATATTAGTGATACAAACCATCAACTATCCATTACCCCAAAAATAAAAGGTAGGAGGATAGAAGCCGAAAGTGTGTAGAGTGGGTCAACCAGCCCATGATTACCAAACCAAGAGTTTAGACTTGCAAGCCAAGCAGGGTACTTTGTATTAGTTAACTAACTTAACTCCACCACTCCCTTCAAAGCATTCTCAACTTCCAATATTCAATTCCTTTAATTATGTATATATATACATATATATATATATATATATGTATGATCTATGCCAATGCAAATTCATACATATGCTTCCTACCTAGCATTAACTTAACTCGTTCGAAGATATATAGATATGGAAGAATTATGTGTGGCCAAATCCAGTGGAAGCTTGGTTCCACCTTGTGCACCAACACCTCCGGATACGCTGCATCTATCGCGAATCGATAGATTACCAGCCCTCAGATGCAATGCTCGCACACTCCACGTTTTCGAGGCACTTGGCCCTCCTGGAGCTGCACAGTCCATCATACTCCAGGCCTTATCCAAGGCATTGGTCCCTTACTATCCTCTAGCTGGTCGTCTAATTTCAAACCCACCTCAGGTTCAATGCAGTGGAGAGGGTGTTTGGTTTGTGGAGGCATCTGCAAATTGTACCCTCCAATCTGTTGCTTACTTTGAGGACGTCACCTCCATTCCATTCGACAAGCTACTTCCTCATCATCCTCCTCAAACTCAAGCCATCGATCCTCTTGTTCTAATGCAGGTGACAGAATTTGAAGGTGATGGGTTTGTAATGGGACTCACATTCTGCCATACCATATGCGATGGTCTAGGAGCAGCTCAGTTCCTTAATGCCATTGCTGAGTTTGCTAGAGGTGCCCACCAACTCACCATTTCCCCAGTTTGGCACCGTGATTTTCTTCCTCAACCACAAACCATAACAAGTTGTACACCACCACCTGCAAATTTCATGCTCCCACCTGCTGATTACGAGCTGGAGCAAGCTAATATAGACATTCCACTCCATCACATCAATCAGCTGAAGCAGCAATTCTTAGCTTCCACTTTCGAAATCGTAGCAGCCATTCTGTGGAGGAACCGTACCAAGGCAATCAGCTTAGGGTCGTCTGAAAACAGAATGATGAAGCTTGTGTTTTTCGCAAACTGTCGTCACCTGGTGCAACCGCCTTTACCCAAAGGCTTCTATGGAAACTGTTTCTTCCCGGTGACCATCAGCGCATACAGCGATACATTATCAAAAGCGGAAATGGGCGAGGTGGTAAAGATGATCCAGGAGGCGAAGGCGAATCTTGGTAACGAATTCGCAGATTGGGTAAGCATCAAGAAAGAAGAAAAGGAAGACCCTTTTGCACCACCACTGGGATACGGCACCTTGTTTGTTTCGGAATGGGGAAAACTGGGTTTTAATCAAGTTGATTACGGAAAAGGAGAAGCTGTGCATGTTGTTCCGATGCAAGGGTCCAGCATTATACCAGTTGCAATTGTGGGAACCATGCCTCGTCCAAACAAAGGAATTCGTGTGATGACATGGTGTGTCCACAACCCCCATCTTCAACCTTTTCTTCATGCCATCACTCCACCAAGTTACTATAATTAATGCAATCCCATGATCATTTATCCAATAATAATTGTGATTCACTCGTACTGCATCGCATGGCCGGGTACACTACTAGTGTGTATATATATATATATTATATGTTTAATTGCTTTTAATTCATGTCATGGGGTTTACCTACATGTTTGCATTGCATCTATCTGTATATGTAATCTTGTTTTAATTTTATGCAAAGAAATAAACAAGAGAATTAACTTTGTTAAGTTTCTTTCGTCATGAATACCAATTCTCAACGGTACTACGTCTTTCGAGTACTTTTAAGTTCATTTTCTCGCTCATCCACTTATAATAAGTTCAATTCTGTAGCTAGGACGATCTCAATCACGTCTTCTTTTAAACCTATCCCAACATGACTAAACATGCATTAAACACGTTTAACGCGTAATTATATCTTCTCACACAATCGTCTTGATATATATAAATTACGGTTACGTTACTTACGTACGTGGGCATATTCAAGCCTACTTTCATTGATGATGAAAGCAAACTATCACTAATGATATAAAATCAAAACTAATTTTGATTTGATTGATTATTAATTAGGAAATTTTATGTGATTAAGCAATTAGAAAGATGGTTACAAATTAAGGTGGTTTGCATGGGTAGTTAAGTATATAATTTAAGTCAGACAACTATATAAAGAGGTCAATTTCTCTTATATATGATATGAGCAGCCCACTTTGTGTGTGGGTGTTTAGGAAATAAAAAATTGATGGATCGATGATATATATATATATATATATATATATATATATATATATATATATATATAGGGGTGGGTTCAAATAAAAACCACTCAATTTGTAAAAACCATGAAAA